ACCATCTCTCCGCCATCAAGGCCAGGGGCATCAAGCACAGAATCAAGTGGAACCGGAAGTCTGTGCCCAGCACCGTCCAGATCACAGAAGCCCAGGTGGCCCAGAACCCCCCAGGAGCCTTCATCAAGCAAGGCCGAAAGCTCCACATCGACTTCGGAGCTGAGGGCAACAAGTACTATGAGGCCAACTACTGGCAGTTCCCGGACGGGATCTACTACGACGGCTGCTCCGAAGCCAACGTGACCAAGGAGGTGTTCATCGCCAAGTGCATCAATGCTACCCAGGCAGCCAACCAGGCCGAGTTTTCCCGGGAGAAACAGGACAATAAGCTTCACCAGCGGGTCCTGTGGCGGCTGATCAAAGAGCTCTGCTCAGTCAAGCACTGCGACTTCTGGCTGGAAGGGGGAGCCGGATTCCAGCTCTCCGTGGACCAGCCAGTGATGCTCTGCCTGCTGGTCTTCATTTGGCTCATGGTGAAATAATCCTGGAAGGAGTCTGGTGGCCATAGAGGTGAGCCGGTGAGCAGATTATGGAGACAGGTACCCCAGTCCTCCCCGACCCCACACCCACATGTGTCTTGAAGGTACCAAAGAGAAGTGATTCATCAGCGCTTCAAATATCACTCCTAAGTGCTCACCTGTATTTGTATGGGATAAGCATGTGTCTGTGTGTCCATTTCCCGCGTGCTCTGTGGCGGCTGGGGGGTATTTGGCTCATTATATATTCTCAGCTCCCAGTGGAGGGTCTGGTACACCACCTTAGGCAACTGGTGAATCGATCCAAGAATTCATCAGGAACTGTGCTCAGTACTTCACCATACCTCCCACAACTCTTTTAAAGAGTTAGATGTTGTTCCTCTTTTACAGATGAGGAGACCAAAGCTCAGAGAAGTGAAGCTCACCCAGCGTCACACGGCTGGAAAGTGGCAGAGTCAGGAATCAACCACAGCCTGTCTAATCTCAGGTTTTCTGTGCTGTCCAATCCCACAGCTGTCTCACGATCGCTTTGTGGTTTGCAAAGCCTAGATCCAACCTTGTTTCTCGAATGGAAACTGTGAAAGCTCCACTTTTAGAAATAAATGGGAAAACCTGAGCCTGCCACTGTGAACTTTGATACATGGAAGTTTAGTTGAATCCTCCTACGGAAACTAAAATATAATAAAGGGATTAAACTAAAATAGAAATAAAAGTAAACAAAGGCCTACAAATCAGGAAATATTTCCTACCCAATTCCCAGAACAGACCAGTTTTATAGTAGGGCATGTATAACAGTTGTATAGTGTCTATGGCACTAAGATCCTTTTTCACAAAAAGGGTAAGTGATTGCTGTTCCCATCCCTACAGTAGTCCTCTGCATTTACAAAAGAAAATGTTTAAATGACACATTTGCTTCTAATGTTTCCCCTAGTCTTAGGTGCATGTTCCTATGTAAACTCATATGAACATCTTTAAATACATTCCCTTTATTGGAGAGTGAAATTGACCAAAGTATGCTGTAACAAATGTGCCACAATGAGACCCACCATTCTGTATAATTAATATGCACCAATAAAAATTTTAGTTAAAAAAAAATACCTATAGTCAGGTTCCCTGATACACACCTATAATCCCAGCAATACTGAAAGCTGAGTCAATAAGATCACAAGTTCAAGGATAGCCTGGGCAATTTAGGGAGACCCTGGCTCAAAGTAAAAAGGGCTGGGGATGTGTCTCAGTGGTAGAGCACCTCTGGGTTCAATATCCAGTAACTCCCCCCCAACAAAAAAAAAAAACCTTTCATATATGTAAATATGTCTACACACACACATACACACACGCACACCCTTATATAATGCTTTCTACTATCTCTATTATTCTTTTTAACACTTTAGAAGGGCCATAATCTCTGTAAATTAATAATCACTATAAAATATCATTATTTGCCAAAAAAAAGGCTTTTTTAAAAACTATTTCTTTAGGGAGCCCCAATGAAGAACTCATATCCACCCTAAGCAAGAGTTGATGCACCTCCTTTCCAGTTTAAAAAAATATGATTATCTTTTAAATAAAAAGTAATGAATTTAATGTTCCAAGATGCTCCCACAGGCCCTCTGGGGACTCTCAGAGAACTCCAGGAGTTGTTGAGCTGTAACTGGAGATAACAGCTACTGAATATTATCAGTTCTCTTTTAAAGAACATCTGTCAGGGGAGGAGCGTGCATCACCAGACAATTTATCTTGGGTTTTTCAGCACATGAGTGTTGAGAACGGTACTTCTTGTGCTGAGTCCCCACTGTTATCCGTTCTTCTCAAGGATACATTTGGGAGGTTTTTACATGAAATATGGGAGACAGACTTGCAGGGCAGGGAAGACCAGAGAAGCAAAGCAGCGTCCTGCCCGCTATTTCAATCGGGACAGCCCTCTACTCAAATAATGCAGAGGAGCTAACCCGGGGGTACGGTTCCTGCGGCTGCTGGCCCCACTCACTTACACCCATGGCCCTAATAATTCTAGATCCAGAGAGCAAGTAAAAAGCACAGAACACACTGGGGTTATTTCTTGCATTCCAATTTTTTTTTAATACTAAAAGTGGCAATAAAGAAAGAAAAAGTAGAGGGATGTTGTTGACCTTTGAACTCCCGCGTCCAACTTTAATTACAAGGGCACACACAGCCACTTTAGCAAATGACTCCATTTCTGATGGGAAAACGCTTGGGCTGTGAGGGAGTCTGTTCCCTGTGATCGTTGTCTTTTCTCATTTCATTAATGATCCCACAAATCAGATATAAGCGGTGCAGGAAGTGCCTTGGTACACGGTGATTTGAATGTGAAATTTGCTCATGGAGGTTTTTAATGGGAACCCTATGTACTTGAACGTCTTTGGACTTCCTGAGCCCGGCTTTTCAATTTGGCCGAGGGTTATCAGGAGCCTCCGTGTGCATAAGACATTGTAGGCTTCTCAGTTATCCTCAGTTATTTTCCAAAATGAATAATGTCACCAGCTATTGTTTTCTGGGTTCTTCCAGGTGTTGACTTTTTTTTAAATATAAGCTTATCATAAAAGTGGCATTCAAATTACAACAGAAATCCAAAACAACCACAAAAAAAATGACTACAACTCCAACATCTAACTAAGCCAGTGTTTTTATGTCCCTTGTAATCTCCTACTCTAACCATTTGCATATAGAAATGTGCACATTTGTGATACTGATATCCAGATGAACTTCCACCTTCTAAATTTTTACTTAACTTCACTCAATGCTTCGTTTTTTTTGCAATATTCCTATGATTTGTGTTTTCTCATTTCACCATCCCCAACCCCTCCTTATACCCTGGGGTGTAGCCTCCACCCCTTTTCTGTGCTCAGATATATAAGCAAGGATTTGTTTTTTGTCTCATGCCTTTCAAAAATACTATGACTGTACATATAGTTTTCATTTGTCTGCAATTTCCCTTCCTATCTTAACATGGCATCCTGATACTCTCTGGGTCAACAACTAACCGTTAGCAGGTTTAACCTGTCCTTTTAGATTGCTGTATTATCTTCTACATAATCGTGTACTGTGGCTGATTAAGTCATTTCCTTGTTGGTGAAGCTTCAGATTGTTTCCTGGTTTTCTGCCACTGCAAACAATAAATGTCCTAATAAATACAACCTGGCCGTCTGGTGCTTTTATTTCTGCAGGATTGATTTACAGAATTTCTTGAACAAAGCCTGTGTGTAATTTGGACTTTACCAGACATGACCGCAATGTTTCCATATATTTGGAGAACTCTCATTACCACCAGCAGCATATGGCATTAACTTGGAAGGGTTTCTACGTCCTTTAAGTATAAGAAGCCACCTTTTCCACAGATACTGCTTGTGAATCTTGTTTTTAAAGGACACACCTAAAGCTTCCTAAGTTACTCTGATCTTAGTGGTCATTGGAAATATCCTAAAACCATTAACCTTCCTCATTCTAAAAGTGGTTCTGGGTGCAAAACATTTGAAGAGAAACCTGCACATCAGACAGCATGTTGGCTTTCTGCTTAAAGGAGGGTGGATCTGTACATCTCCATATTTCCCAAAAACCAAGGGGCCTAGGGGAAGGTTGGTCCCTGGCCTTTTGACAAATTTATAGTAAAATTGCACATGCAAGTGTCTGCAGATCAGTGAGAATGACTTCTAGATCAAAGGCTCAAAGAAACGGGCATCAAGCCCACTTTCAAAATAGCCCACATTATCTTTGGAGGTTGGGTAGATGATCAGATCTCCCCATACCCCCTCATGCCCCGTTTGGTCTAGGCTGTGCCTGACGACATTGAGAAACTCCACCCTCTGGGCCTACGTGGTGTGTCCTGGGTAGTGGCCATACGTTTGTCTTGAGCTGCCCACACACTGGCCTTGAGCTGTCTAATAGCCAGGAACTGACTTAGGGAAGTGGCCCATTGAGCCAGGACCCCAGGCCCTACTTCCTACCTGTGATGTGGTTACATCTCACTCTCTGCCCCCCACAATGCTTCTCCTCACTCCTTCTTCACGACTGGACAGGGATGCCCTAAGGTGCCCATGTGTTCCTGAATGGTACATTTTGGAGTCCTCCTGGGTCTCTACTGAAACAATGACAGGGGGACCCACATGGTTGCAGACAGGCAGCATGGTGGCAGGCCACACCCTCCAGGAGAGTGATCGTGTAGATTTGCACTGATGTGGCATCACGATGAGTTGCAGTGTCCCCTCCTGGATGCTCCAACACCACTGCATTGAAGAGCAGCCCTGGGGCCAGGTCAGACTCCCACCAGAGGTTTGCCCTCCTACCTCAAGGCCATGAGTCACAGGGCTCATCCTCCCATCTTCACTGCTGGCAGGAAACCCATTTCAGCTGGGCACCCAGATTCCCTGGTGGAAGGCAAAGGAGCCAAGTGCCATGCTTCTGGGAATGTGTGACCGTGGGAAATGAGAGCTAATCAGCTGCTCCCTGCACAATGGGAATAAACGTGTCTTTGAGACACCTCTATTTCAGGGCCATGCAAGATAACAAGACTCAGCTGTTTCCAATGGTGAAGGGGAGTCTTTGCCTGGGCTAGGGATACTAGGGGGTCTCACCAGGGAGGATTGAGATCCTGCCCACTAGATACTAAAGCCCTGAGATCTCCTTCTCACAATGAGCCCCAGAACACAGGTAGAGGATGGAAGGGTGATTTGCTGCATTGTGTGAGAAGTCTCCCGCTGAAATAAACCCCACACGCTGACCCTCTGTCTAAAGGGACTTTCCTGGTCAGCACAAAGCTAACCCCCACCCCCTGCAACTGCTCATCCTCTGATTCTTAAGTCATTGCCTCTCCCAGGTTTCCTTTCCTGCACGCTTGTCTGAATTTCAGAACCTCCATCCACCCTCCCACCCCGGCCCATCCTTGGGATTTCCACATCTAATTTTAATGCTAACCCTTCTGTGGAAAAGCATTGCCCTCCTTAAACAATGCAGATTGTTTTAACTCCAGCGGGCTTGACCGTGAACTGTGGAAGGAAATTGGCAGGAGGCCAGAGAGGAATTAGAGGAAGCTAGAAACAAGCAGGTCAGTCAGTCGGGGCCAGAGGAACCAACACAGCTGGCCTCACTGGATGGAGGGAGACGGGTGGGGCTGGGGGAAGGCTGGTGAGGGCAGGGGAAAGGCCATCCATGAATGCCCAGGGGAGAATTCAATGCTCAGGCTCATCTGAAGCGAGGGAGCATCCAGCAGGGAAGGGCATTATGCCCTCAGGGGCTCAGTTCAGCACCAAGGAGAGGGGTTTCAAGGACAAAGCTGAGGAGAGGGTCCCAGTAGGGTCTGGAGCCGTGATAGTTGCATCAGTTGTGTTGAGCTAGAATTTCTAGCCTTAATCTCTAATTAAGGTCTCGAATCTTTTTAACTGGCTGTTTTAACTCAGAGCTACTTAGCAATCAAGAACAAAATGGGGCTGGGGTTGTAGCTTGGTGGTAGAGGGCTTGTCGGGTGGGCATGAGGCCCTGGGTTCAACCCCCAGCACTGGAAAAAAAAATGGAGGAGTTTATGGCATGTCTTAAATGTCATTCATCCCTCCCTGTGCTTAAGCCAAATCACACCATCACCTTGTTCTCCCGGGGTCCAGG